CGCGGCTGTTCACCAGCTCCGTGACCCAGCATGGCCCCGTTTAGCTTGGCTACTGCTTGTGCTGGTGGCCCCAGTTTCTCCTCGGGAGGTTCCCCGGATGGGTTTACGCTGTTTAAGCTGGAGGGGAAAAGCCAGAGTACTACAGCCTCGTGAGCAAAGGGCAGCTGCAGCCCAGTGCTCACAGCTGCAAGACATAAAGCCCCTTTCAGCTCTGCCGGCCGGGGGCCAAGCACAAGGATAGCTCCGTACCCTGCTGCTGCCGGAGGGCAGCAGGGCACGCAACCTCCGCCTTCAGAGCGTGGGCTGAAGTTATCCCACAGCAAGCCCAGCAAGCCTGCAACGCTGGAGAGAGCCCGCGTTTGGGTGGCCCCTGGGAAATTGCACCACGGCACCTTCGCCAAGAAAACGAAATGCTGCAGGTAGCAGCCTGCCCTGTCCGCGACATCGTGCGAGCTCTGCCCTTGCTCACTGGAGACTCTCTGCTGATCCGGCAGGGCTTCGGGGTCCTTGCACGGGGTCAGTATCAGCTGCAGTGAGAAGAGCTGGAGGTGACAAAAAGGCCTGACTGGGGAGAAGGAACTGGGACGTCTGCTCTTAGGACTGCCATGTCTGAAACGACGGTGGCCTGAAATTGAAGAACAGACCTAGCTTCAGGAAAATGCATCATCCCCAGGGGCACCAAAGCCCCCGGTGCTGGTCCGGTGCTGCTGGCCCCTTGGACCAGGTCAGTCCCATCTGCACCGCGCCAGGCTGCCCTCGCAGCCAGCTGCACCGTAGCACCGTGCCGAGCTGTCGCCGGAGCAGCTCAGAGGTCTGTGCCGCGGAAACGCCCTTCAGGCAGCGCGCTTCCCTTCCAAAGGGCTCAGGCCAACCCCAGCGCCGACGGGCTCAGCGCCCCACAGCAGCCCAGCCTGCAGCGCGTGCCACCACGCGGCCGCGGCCCCGTGGGAAACCAGACCTCACCCTGGGCTTACCGAACCGCTGCTCCCCGCTCTGGTCGCACTGATGCTCGCTGGAGTCGTGAACGAGGAGGCAACCAGCTCCCGAGTTGTTCCAGGAATTAAAGGAAAAAAAGAGAAGAAGAAAAAACAAATCAGGAGTAAGTGGAAAGTGGCTCCTTCCTGCGGGGGCATTGCTCTCCCTGCCTTTTCCTCCCCATC